TACATATATGTATATATACATATATGTATATATATATACATTTATATATATACTGATGTACATATATACATATATATATATATATATATATATATATATATATATATGTGTGTGTGTGTGTGTGTGTGTGTGTATACTTTTCTAACATTGTCATTAAATCAAAATAAACCTTTTGGTTCACCAAACAACTTCAGTATATATGTGCACCCATGATACCTCGAAGACCACAACAATATAATGTTAATAATGATGATAACATTCTGATATTTTTAATGTTGATGACCACAAAATTAAAATGCTTCAGTGATAGAGAAAGAATAATATGATGAATTTAACATTTGTTCCAAAAGCAGATTCCACTGGATTAACAAAAATTGAGCATATTTCTACAAAATTGAATCAGAATAGATCACGCAAGTAAAGCAGAACTGACATTCCATGAGACACAAGATCATGGTTATTTGAACAAAAAATTTAGTACCAAGTTTTGTTGCACATACCATGAAGTATAAGAAAGGAAATAATGATGCTACTGGTAAGGCTGAAAAAAGCAATAACGAGTTAGACATGGTGACACAAAACAAAAAATAATTCAGTATGAAAGAATCGACCAATAACAAGTAAATATAATCAAACAAGCAGCTCGTTGAATCAACAATCGAAATTGTTGGAGATTCTTGACTTACCGGAGCACAGCGTGACGATCCATATGTAGAAGAATTCCCTGTAAGGAACTCCTCGGCGGACCTCGTTCTTCCGGTCCTGCTTGCATCCGGGGCAGTTCTCATAGTACACCTTCAACAGAGGCCCGGTGTTCGCCTCCATGGCCACGACCACTCCAAACGACCAAGCCTTATCTGTCGCTGGACATCGATCTGCCACATAAATGGTCGTGATTCCTTCATGCTCGGCATTGCAATCGCAAAAGCAAAAGGAAGACACTATGTCCCTTTCTTTAGCTGTCTAAAGCGACTACTGCGTACTAGGTAATGCTCTCCCCCTTAATTCCAATCCCAATACCTCACTGCATGCGTCAGCGGGGATGCTAACGAATCTGCGAATCGCAAGATACCATGCGAAGTTTTAAGCATCAGAAACACGAGTTGACCGAGAGGGGTACTATGTGAAGTTTTCGGCCTCAGAAATGCGCGTCGACTGAAAGGGGTTCGTCATGTTGCCACTGACTCCCGCTTCGATCTATTTGTCGCCTGTGATGATGACAAAGAGGCCTCCCAATTAGACCAAGCGAAAGATATAGATTAGGTTTCTCACCTCATCGCTCACTCGGCCTCTGAAGCTGGAAGGATCGAGAAAGAGAAAGATGATATGGGTTGTGATTCTTCTTTAAAGCTGAACAGAAGTCAACAAGTAGCAACCTGCTTCAATTACCAGTACTGGCGTTCAAATTGCTTCATAAGATCACCTGCATGCTAACACGATAATAAGAATAATGCACCTGCATATAACATTGCAATTGCAAACATATCAAGGCGAAGTCATATTTAGAGAGCCACAACCATAACCCAGCAGAAGTCGCTTGCATTGGCACAATCCAACATTTATTGAGAACAAGCAATCATCCTTGATATACTTATCTACATAAGCATACAGTAACAGTTCTGGTTTGAGGTACCCTTACAAACAAGATAAATTCCATCTTCACCTACAATTACTAGTTCAACATATGTGACAAGACTATTATGGAACATATTTGTGCCAGCCAGGTTGTGAAATGGTGTCGTGACTTGCGTCATCAGGCCCTTTCAGCAGTTTGTGTCATACAATGCAAGACCCTGCAACTCTGGACCTTCTAAACGTGGATTGTTCTCAAAGCTGCACATAAACAAGGGAAATTTAAACAGCTAGAAGAGAATAAAACCTATTACAAGACAATCTACAACTCTACACATGAACTGTATGTTTTATTCTCATTAGTAATGCAAGTTCTGCATGACTACCATTAACCATTTAACAAAAGTGGCAGACACTTACACAACTCTACTAACCGAAAAGGAAGCACCAGATGAATATTGTTGAACAATGCTTGGTATTTAACAACCAATATGCACTTTATAGATAATTAGAGATAAAGGAAAAGCAAATTAAATCTGGCACAAATAGAAAAAAAAAAGGAGGAAAAGAATTACTTGTTTAAGGGGATGTGTTCAAATGGTCCAGTGGTGGGAATAGTTCCACAGAGATCGTTGTATGATATATCACTGGAAATGGCCGAATCAAAGATTATTATTAGCTAACATAAATGGAATATCCTAAAAATGTGATGGATTCAGAACCAAACTAAAAGCACTTACACAACTTTGAGGCTAGAAATTTTAACAAGTTCCCTTGGGATTTGACCGGTCAAACGATTATCATTGAGCCGTCTGGAAAAGCAAGCAGATACAGATTAGTTTTGCTAGATAGTTTGAATCAATAAGATGGGAACATCTTCAAAGTTAAAGCAGAATATATACATATATATAGTTCTACTATATGTACTTAGGATATTATATATTATTCCTGCCTTGATTTGTCAAAACTTTGACAATTCTAGTATTATATAAGCAGCATAAACTTAATTCACAGATATAAAACTATGAGTTTTGAAAACCTCACTATTAATAGAATGCCAGAAACAATACCAAAAAACAGATTTAATAAAATGGCTTACCAATGTTTGTACAATTTAAATGAAGACTGAAACTTTTTCACAACTTACAAGAATACTAGAGACTTAAGCTTCCCTAGTGTTGGAGGGATAACCCCTGAGATGTTGTTATTATACAAGTCCAGGCTAATGAGACTCTTCAGATTACCAAACTCTGATGGTATTGTCCCTTGGATATTGTTTTTGTAGAGTTCCCTGTATCAGCAACAAAAGAAAATTATTTAACCTTTGGTTGACATTGAGAAGTATCATTTTGTTTAATAATAAAGAACCATAATAAGAAATCCAGAAAGTTCAGCAAAAAAATATCATAAGAACATCACTGAAATTTCATAACAATAAGGCTACAATGAACAAAGTCATCTTCACGAGACCAGTGGAAACAACTAACAACAGATAATGATTTCCCCAACAGCTAAAATACAGATCAATAGGAGATCTTTATAGAATGCTGATCAACAATCGGCAGATGTTAAACAGCATACTTCTCTAAAGGTATGGCCATAATGTCGTTACAAAGATGAATCCTTGATTGTTAAAGGAGTAGCTTCTTGTAACATTTCAGAGTTAAAGTAGGCCAGAATCAATTTGGACTAGTCAAAGTAGGCCTGAACAGAGCTGGACCATTCAAAGAAAAATGATCTTGGATTAAATTCTTACTCCACAAAGAGTTTTATGCAACTGGTGGATACTCAAATTTGTCAAGATCAACCAAGAAGGCCAATTGTTTACCCAATAAGTCCAACTTATTTTGCAGTAATTTTAAGATCCTATTCAGTCAATCCCCATCCATATTAGAAGCCAATTCGGAAACAAGATTATCAAGTAAAGCTTCCCATGATCAAGTTCTGCACCATTTTATTACTTGGGTACTTTTCTAGTCAAAGCAACATACCATGATCAAGTTTTGCACCATTTTATTAGTTTGCCAATGAGGCAGAACCAAATATCAAAAAGCAAACATGGAAGTATATGGATAGCACACTAAAGCCCCCCTGGCACCGGCATGGTATGTTCTACAAATCCTTGTTCGACGCGCAATTACAATCATCAAAATAAAAGGGGAGCCAAAGACCGTTGAGTAAAGCTTACCATCCATAATCTGCCTAGGTATTTCATCTCTATCAATTACTACTTGTTAACTGTGCTTTGATCTTCTTAATATCACACAATTGGTGAACGGGATCTTAGGTCTTGAAAATTAAAATGGTTATTGATCAGAAGAAGCATTCCTTAAGCAATGTCCAAAATGTCAATTGACCCAAACAGAAGGCAGTTTTGAGAATTGCCAAAGGATCTAAGAATTTATCTTTGGCTTCTAAATTAGATTTCCTGCACAATGGAATATGAAAAACATTCTTTGGTAGTGGATCTAACATACCACAGGCAAGTATCAGCATGTTATTCCATGGTCAAAATATTGAAGTTGAACTTCTAATCTGCAGAGCTACACTCATGGATCTTCCATGTTTTATACTTCCTTCACTCTGAATTGGGAGATAAGGTTGCAAGGCCAAAAGAAGAAATTTGGCATTCAAAATAATAAAAAGCAAAAAACATTTGATTAGCATTCTAGTTTAGACTTAAACTCCTCAAAGAAGAACTGCTTTTAGATCTTAGATCAAGTGAGAAACAATATAAAAACGAAGGAAGAGGAAGAGAAAATGCAAAGAGGGGACTTGCAACTGGACATGCACAAGTATCTTATTATTAGATCCTTTATAGTAAACAGAACATATATAAGCAATGCATATATGCAATTAACAAAATAATGCCAAGAGTGCCTAAGTGATATGAAAACCTAGCTTATATTTATTAGCTATTTCTCCACTGAATTTTCCATTGCCCGATTTTATGATGAATTGAAATGTTTAGGGCTCGAAACAATCCTCGGGTATTAGAAAATAATGCATCTTTGGTAAAAAGAAAATGATAAAACTATGCATCATAACAATCATTACCTCAACATCAGTTTTTTACAGCAAGAAAGCAGAGTAGACAAACACAGGAAAAAAGACAGACACATGATCTAAAATAATTAAAGAAAAAGGTGAGAGACTATTACAGATATTGCAAATGTTCAAGGCGTCCAAGTTCAGGTACAAGATGGCCAGATAAATTTGAATTGCCCAGGTCCCTGTAAAAAGCAACATCACATGTCATACAACAAATAGAAGGATGACTCATAAGCAAATAAGGTGGATAGAAGAAATAAATAAATAACATGCATGACACAATGAGGAAGACCAACCAAAGTTTAAAAGTTCTTGATGTGATAATTCATCAAAGACTCAAAGTCTCCCATTGAGAAAATAGTTACCACTGATTTGTGAATTAAATAAAGGAGATTCTATAACCCTAAAACTCAATCATGTTTTTAAAAGTAGAGAAAGACACAACAGGACATAGTCCTTAATTCCTGATAACAATTTGAAAAAAATAACTTATACTCAATCCCAACAGGGAGTGCTGCCATATGAACTATTCTCAAATATTAATTTAGTTTCCTAAACAAAATCTTTGACAATTCTATCTAAGGATATGCTAAAATAATTCAATTCTATTTCCAGCTTCAACTTCAATGCTAATTGCTACAGTTCTTTCCAACAATAATACAAATTTATACAAAGAAAGAATGAGCACAAGTTACCCTTCTGCTGCCGTACAATTGTGGTATATTACAGGATATAAGAGTACCAAGGAAAAACTCAACAGTCCAGAATCTTGCTTAATAAACTACTGAATATGTAAAAGATAGGCATAACAAGGGATGATTTTGACAAACTTATCAGTATTCTAAGTTTTCTTCATTAGATATACATTTCTGTTCCTTTACTCTATCATAATAGTATAGGTATTTACATTAGAATTACTACAGATCCTCCACAGCATGTCTGCTATATTTTTTTCGATCCTATCAGAACCATTCCTAAACATCTAAATGAATCATGAAGGCATATAAAATGCTATTCAATTCAAATGTGTTTTCGATAACTCCGCTGAAGCCAGAATCTCGATGATCCACTCAAGGAATGCTGATCTACATGTCTGAGTACATAAAAATATTTTCCTTCCGAATTATAAAGCTCAAAAATAAAATTATTTATGTCTCCGCTACATTTAGAAACTGAAAGGGAATAAAAGAAGAAGCTCAAAGAAAACAACATGTCATTGTATCCAGCCCCCATTTCTCTTTTTCCCATTGATTGCTTGAATTTTTCACATCAGGAGATTTTCCGTAACATGTCCTAACATTGTCCCTTTTCTACCAAATTTTTAGATATATTAGTAAAAGTATGCAATTCATTCGCCTAGCAATGCTAGTTGGGGAACACATTCCTGGGGGTGTTTGTTGTGAAACATTCCACTGCATGATCCCAATCAGTGAAAAAGGTTTTCCACTAAGGGCCTTGGCCACTAGTGTGCTGATCATACCATCATCAAAAAACACTGTGAATCTGTGTCTGACTGAGCGGACCAACTCAGCTCTCAAGTTGTTACAGAAAATATCCCAACTATAGCTCGCCGATAGAGTTTAATTCTTCCTCATAAAGAAAGAGAACTCATTCAAGGACTGTCAATGTAAGATTTTTTCCCTCTTTTCAAGATTCATGTTACCACAGATTTCATAAATTGGTATGATAACCATCGCCGGAGTACATATGATAGACAAGAGGAAAAAAACACCAGTATTTTACCAAATATTTCTATCGAACGCACTCTTAACTATATAAATTCACCAACCACGTCAAACTTCTATGTTTACCAAATTCGGAAACTTGCTCAACTATTAGCGACCATAAAGAAGCATGTATAATCACTTCTTCCAAAAGATTTCTCGACATACATTTTCTTAGAACTTATCACATCACTAAAATTTTCACCGAATCTGCATCCTAACAATTAATAACACAACACTGGTCAATCATCAGGTCAACGAAAAATGCAATCCTGTCAGCAAAATTGCAGATATATAAATTCCGTCAAATCAAGAAAAGAAGGAAAAACAAGATATCAGAAAGAAAACTTAGACGGGAGGAAGGGAAACGGAGGCGCCACGGAACCTACACGCGAGTGACGCGATTGTCCTGGTTACAGGTAATATGGAACCAAGTGCAAGGGTTCACGAGAGTCGGATCCCAGCTCTGCAGCACGTCGTCCGGGTCCGAGAGGCTCTTCCGCAGCGCGTAGAGCGCGTCCCCCTCGGAGTTGGACGAGACCAACGGCGCCAAAAGCAAAGCCATTGCCAGAACAACCACCAGATTTCCCGCTGCAACGTCAGCGACGACGGCCATGGCTCGTCCGCACCGAAGGCTCTCACTCGCAAGATCTATGGGTAGGGTTTCGGCGCTCCTTCGCGGTGGGTTTCGGTGGGAGTGCGACGGCGTTTGGGGAGATGAAAAAGCCGAGTAAAAGAGAAGCCGGTGATTAAGTTGCACGCTAGCAGTCGTTTAGGTTAAATGGTTACTTAGCAGTGAGACGAAAAAGGCAGTAATTTAAGGATCAAACGAGCCGAATGTTGTTGTACTAAGCGAGGTGGGCTTCGGATAACGGCCGTCTTTAGTAGTCTTTGATGGATCGATTGCCACTCCTATGGTAAACTAGTTCTTAAAATTTCCTGCACAGGTATAGCTGTCGAGTTTCCAGTGGCATTTTAAGTTTTAAGATGCTTGCATTCTTGGATGAGATGTTGCGAGAGCAGATAAGTTGTCTTAATTTGGCTTTACCAACTCCCACCTATCATCATTAAATGACTTCATTGCTCATATTATTTATATTTTATAGAGTAAAATTGAACATATATATATATATATAACTATTTTTGTATTTATCCTTCTAAAAATAATTTTTAGCATATACATATATATATATATATATACTTGAAAAATATAAGAATTTTGTACATGTCATTACAATAATTTTCAATGATTAAGTGTTATTCAACTATTGATTTGAAACTCTAAATAATATTATTTTTAAAAATATGAATTATAAAAATACTCAAGGCTTTAGCTATCAAGTTTACTATTTAGAGGTTTATTTTTTACTATTGATAATATATGTTTACTATTCATAATCTCTCAAAAGATTAATAAATATTATTTTACTATTTATAATTCTTCTAATTTTATTTTTTTTTCTTTCCCCCACATCCCTTGTGATCATCATTATGCATGCAATCGCAATTGATGTTTCATAATATTCTTTATCATTGATCGTCACTTTCTAACCCACACTCCCTATTGCTAATTATCACCCACCCTTGACATCATCCTTCGAGGAGGAGGAAGAAGAGAAGGAGGACAAAGTGAACGCCCATTGCATCACCTTCCTTCTTTAGTAAGGAAGGACATGGCGCGGTTTGCACCATTGCATTCTCAAGATGGCATGGAACCAGTGAACTCTTCTCCTTGAAGCTCCTCTTTTGATTCCCTTATCGTCTTCTCTTTGTTTCTTCCACCGGTTCCTCTCCTAACGACAAGGAGACATCTTAGCTTGTTTTGCTCATGCTTCATCCATCCTTCCAGGAAGCAGTCTTTCCACTAATGATAACTACTGCAAGAGAAGAGCGAGACATGACCACCTCCACTGTAGAGTGGAACTCTTTTCTTGGTAGCTTGACATGCTTTGGAATCTGTTCTTTGCATCACTAGCAATGCTGTCCCCGTAAACAAAGAGCAAGACAAAGAGTGGTGCAGGATTTAAGTAGATCAAGAGGACAGTCCTTTTGAGTGAGTTCTGAAGACAAGCATAAACCTAAAATGAACTATCAGATCATGTGAGCTGCTGTGGATTGTAGTTTTGTGCATCACTGCAGTGGTGATCAACTTTAGTTTAAGAAAATGGCTACTTATCAGCAGCATTAGCTTTTGATTGTTATTGTTTGACTTACTTCTTGAAAAGAAGAATTAAATAAAACCTTTTAGTGCATAGGTAGGTTGATTTTTTTATCTGTTTGGAGAAGGATTTAATGATTTTGAAAGATAATTACATATTATCTCATGTAATTAATTATCTTTCGTTTCTGATTTTTATATTTTTAAAAATTATATTAAGATTTATATACTTACGAAAGTAAAATATTTAATTTTGTTGTTTCAATAAAACCTCTCTCTTTTAATATAATTTTATATAGGATCTAAATGTTTCACTTTCGTAAGCTTAAACTTGTAATCAGAGTTTGGCTCTCCTTCCAATCCAATCCAACTTAAGAAAATATTTTGATTTTGATTTGATACCAATATCTCAAGAAAATATATTTTTTAGTTTGCAAGAAAAAAATAATAACGATAATCTTTTCAATCATTTAGGGGTTATATTTGGGTCATAAATTAGGCCCATTAAAGGCCCAATATGTTGCCTACTTACCTCCAATAAATGCGGTTCCTCTGACGTCGTTTCCACCGAGGTTGCTACCAGAAATCTATAGAGATCTGGCGGCAGAAGCAGATAGATGATATCGCAATGTCCCGACTTCCCACCGCTTCCTCGTCCTTTTTCCTGCAGCGGATCAGACTCCCAGCCATCTCCTCCCTCATCGTCTCTGCTTCGAGACCTCCTTCCCCCTTCAGATCCTCCTCTTCTCAGCCCCAATTGTCTTTCTCCCCAAGATTGCGCTACTCGCCTGTCTCTCCTCCGACCTCTTCTTCCTTCTTGACGTGGGCCGCGCCGCCCGTGGTGGGCACCCCAAGGTTGCGGACCAAAGGTTTGATTCGAAAGCTAGGTTTTTGGATTGGTCTGTCGAAATTCAATGCAATAAAGCTCTGTGCTTTTGGGTTTTGTACTAGTCACTAGTTATTTGGGAGTGTCACCATGGCTTACCTAACTTTTACTGGTTGATTTTGTAATGTTTGTTTGCAGTTTGTTACTGTGCTGGAAGCAGTGGAAGGGAGAATAAGGAGCTTCTGGTACAGCATCTTCTTGTCGGTGAAGACAACCTTAAGCTTCTGCTGGAGCTCCAGCAGCGTATTTCAGGAGGTCAGCTTCCATTTTGAATTTTGTTTATTTTTTGCGTTGTAATTATTTATAAACTTATATTTTACGATGCTGTTGCTGTGAAATTTCATGCTTGGTGGGGTAATGATAAGTGCTGCAAGTGGCTGTTTTCTGAACGATGTTCTTATGGTTAGATTAGGGAGGAAATTCAAGGTTACAGGAAACAGAAGTCCTTTTTCTTTTTTGCGTATGATATTTGTTTGGTTGAGGTGAAATGTTGTAGCCTTGAACAGTACTCCCTGCAAGCTGTTTTTATTTATGATTGCATAGGTGATAAGTGAGATAAACAATTAGGTAATACTGATTATTCAAATGTAAACAACTCAATGAAAAATAAGGACCTGTATTAGATGGGAAGTTACGGCTGATAGACAAAAAAGAGCAAACTAAAATGCTAATTTAACTGAGTTACAAATGGTGGGGGACAAGAAGAGGGAGGGCCATTTCATTTTCAAGAACTCAATGGTCTTGACTCTTGGAGACATGTGTTGTTGATAGTATGATTGCACTCAAATGTTTCCGATGTTTGAAATATCCTCTCGGCTATAGCTAGTAGTGACTCAGAGACGTGATGTTGGTCTCTGGTCTCAACTGTCCAAGTGTTGTGAATCTGAGATGGAAACCTTCAAAATTGAGACATGAGATTCCACTTATATCTAGCTATATTCATATTACATGTGCATTGAGGAAAACTTAATAGTTACATTTACTGTCGGCAAACTTCACATTAAAGGCAAAATTTGTGTGCAGAAGTATCTGATGTCTCATATTCAACAGTGATGGTATTATGGTTGACTGAAATGAAGTGTCAAGGCGTGCTCAGCGCCCTGAAGTGTATAAGTGTCCATGTGCATATTGCATCACAAAAACCCAAAACTGCCATATACGAATTTCTTCCTTTGAGCTAACTCTAGAGGAACACATAATATCTACTATAACATAACTATTTCATCATCTGATTTGATGCTTCACTTTTGATGTTCTTGATACTGAAAATATTTGGATCATTTGCATGTAGCTGTCACAATTGCTTGTTCATAATCAATTCTTCCTCTAAATCTGCAATAACATTACTCAAAGTTATAACCCTGAAATATTTTCTCTAGCCATAGACGAGATATGTGGTAGTGGATCCATTTAACATAACTAATTCCTTTTATTACTCTTCAATGCGGTCGACTCTAAATTTTCACAAAATTTAACCTGTGTGAAGATACATTGAGAAAAAGAAAATTTTGTTTTGAAATTCCTGAAGTTTCAGTCATTTTCATGTCTGGGTTCTCCATGAAGTCAACATGATAATGCATTCATTTCATAGCCCATAATAACATTTTGGTTATAACCTGTTTTGACCCTCAAGTATTTTGTTTTCCACCAATTCTCTCATTTTACGATTTCTCTAAGCGAATTTCTAGTTTTTTTTTTATTTTCAATTGTAGGCTGAATTGTATCTTGATAAAGGTATGGTTATACACTGATTCATCTTCAGGAGTGGATTTAAGCGATTTAGCTGTGGAATACTCTGTATGTCCATCAAAGGAAAATGGTGGAATGCTTGGGTGGATTCGAAGAGGGCAAACGGTAATTCCTTATGTTACTTTCTGCAAAGTTAGGATGGCATTAATTAGTTCAAATGATAGTGAATATGGCTAGTTAGTCAGATGCCTTATATAGAGAAACCAACCATACTGATGTGCATGTGGCCTATCATTCTTCTGCTGGATTCACGAGTATGGAGTTTTTAATTTATTGTTGCACTTCTAACAAGTAAAAAATGTCACCTTTGTAAAATTCAAGAAGTTGATTCATTTATGCACCAAAAGATTAAAGCTTCTTACAGTTATAATTCAAAAATTATTAGAAAGAGTACCTAAATAATGGTTTGGTATTAACAGAAAGGATAGTCTTGACTCTTCCTATTGTTGCTGAAAGGTTCAGATTTCAGAAAAATAATTGAGAAATTAGCATTTAGAGAAAAGCTCTGTAGACCTGCTCGTGTTTATATAATGGAGTTGAGGCTTATTTCATCTAAAAGATTTCCCACAGAAAATCTCCACTTGTGTTTGACAAGAAATCTGATGTCTCAGTATCACCAGCAAAATACTTCAGAATTATTAATTATTAATAAACTACTTGTTCTACCAGAGTCCACCACTTTTGATGCTTAAAAGGATCTACCATTTATTACTAAGAGCCAGGTGATGAACGAAAGGAACTTTTGCTGAATTTTGGGTTCAATTTGTAACTGTTAGTGGGACTTTCGAAATTCATGGAACAGGCTCCTTGGTAATTCAACTACAAAGTGTTCCAAATTATTTTTAGTTTCTTGTTTACATTTTTTTTAGCTGAGACTGCTCTCCGATATCTATGGAATGCTTCCTCAAGATAACTCATTATAATATGA